AAAATAGCTACATACTTCTCACATACAATTTCAATATCATATACCTAACTCATGGGTTTTCTATCATATCTCACATTAAATGATATTTAATCGATCAAAGCAATGCTTTCTTTAATGTGTAATTGATAATTAATCGAGTGTAAACAATGGAACCCTAAAGAACCGAAGACTGAAACTCTCGTCTAATGACTGAGCACATCGCTTTCCAAACCTGAAGATCAAGGCGAGATCACAATGATTATAACAACAGAGTTTTTCGATCAATTTAGTAATCATCATCATAAGGTCATCAGTCCTAAGACTGGTTGGACACGGCCCTTCACTCTTTCCTATCCTGAGCTAAACTTCGCATTTCCCTAAAACTAGAACAGCCCAGATCCTTAACTATTTGCGAAGAGTAATCTAATCTAGGTCTACCTCTACCCCTCCTAACTCCTGTTTCTGCCTCTAATATGTCTCTGACTAGACCTTCATGCCTGAGAAGGTGTCCTACCAAACTATCTCGTCTATTTTTTATTGACTTCCATAGAGTCCTCTGTTCTTCCATTTAGTAATCATTTAAAATAAAATCCAATGGGCTAATTGATTACGAAATCGCCTATTTATTATGGGTTTACTATATGTTTTTGGGTCCAATCCAGGACATATTCTTGAAATTATCCAAAGAACTATTGGAAATACACAAGTCAATGATTCAGAAGGTCCATTTCATTGTAAGTTGAAAGGTTTCTTGAGCTGCCCCTGTAGCGACAACAACCTACAGTTGACAAACGATATCTTTTTATTATTTGAAGCACCGGTTTCTTATCAAACTCATTATAAATTTCTACCAGATCTAGAACGTCTTCAAGTATAAATTTCTTTCAACAATTTTGAAGGTTTTGTTGATTTATTTCGTGGACGCGTATCGTCACGACAATTCCTTTATCGACGAAATCCTTTTTGAGTTGATATTCTCAGCATTATAATCTAGATCATCTGGCATTGATCTTTTTGCTCTTTTTCTTCCTCGTGTCCAGCAGACAACTGGTTATCATTATCCAGTTTATATTTCATGCAATGTTTTATACGTAAATTCTTTGCTGAACACACCTATTGATAATTAATGCCACAACCTGATAATAGATAAGTATCTACCTACCCAGGTGTCTACCTTACACGTTTAAATTTTATATGGGCCTTCAATTTCAAAGCCTCAGTTACTTCTTATGTTACGGAATACGTTTTGGCGTTGGTTGGGGATTTATTAAAAAGGGTTTCTGGAAATTTGGAGGTTCTCCGGGACCACACGCTCTGCATGGGCTATCCCATCCGCACCCCTTCAGTTCCCTACTGTACCCTGGATAGCACACAAGTATTTATGACTGTTCGGGAATGTATGATAAGATCACCCATTTATTCTATATGTATTAGTCTTCTGTATGAAGCGGGTTTGAAGCTAAACCATATAAAAGTTTCCAGAAGTTTCCATACTCTTTCCATGTGTTACTATGGTAAATTATCTCATCTTCATAGACACTTTTCAACCCTCTGCTGTGCATCTAATCAATCAAAGATAAGTCTAATAAAATATGGAACGTGATGTCTGCTAAAGCTGTAGGTACAAAGTTGCGTAATTTTTGATACAAACCCCGTATAAATAACGTTTTTTTTATTGCTTTTATTGCTTGTGCATGAAGTCACGTACGTTAAAATGGCGCCAGAAGTATTCAACTGCACGACGTATATCTTTGATTTCTTAGAAAAGTGTTCTACAGGAAACACTTGACGTACGATCATGTCATAACGTTTTAAATCGGTTTTGAAATTCTTTTACAAGATACCACATCAAATTTCACCATTAATGAGATTTTTACCATTTACCAATTTACTTACTGAAGTCCCTGAACTTCTGATGAAACGCTGCTAATCTTTTGTTGGTTCAAAGAGTCTTTTTTCCGCCCGTTTGTCCATATTTTCGTAAAATAAGTTAGGGTACTTCCCCTGCCTTATCATTGTGAAATAATCATGTAATTTTTAATCGGAAAACATGTAAGTAGGTACTGAATTATCGGCTATTAAGTAGGGCGTGTTGTATTTGTTTAAGACTATTTTTAAGTTGAAATAAATATTAATTTATTGTGCTTTTCGTTTTCGATTACGTCAATAACAACTGCACATTTCACTTTTTTATAGATATCAGTACCTTTAATATTACGAAAACAGGAACAGGTGCAGTAGATATTGAGCAGTATAGAAGAGAAATTTGAAATTAAGTAATTTGGACCAAAATTAGTGACAGATGATGAAAGTCTGTGCTCAAACTTTCTTAATGAAATGAATCTTAATAGGCACACCCTTTCGGGTATTGAGGAGCGACAATAATTTTTCGTCATTAATTTGATGGGCAGATGTCGAACCTCTAATCTTCATGTAACATCAAAGGAATAGTATAGGTAAACTCAAAACTACGCATCTTCAACATATATTACGCTAGCAGTAGCCGCGATCCGTCTAAATTTGAACGGTACCTTTGTCATAGCACTTGAAACCATTCCCACCATAGTCCCTAATGGTTGCCCTTCGTGTGTAGCACTTAACCCTTGATCTTTTTAACTCCTGGTTTACCTAGTTAGGAGTGGTATTTTGCAAACTACTTATTTCATGGTGGACGATATTGTTGTACGAGGAACCTTTGGGAAAAATTTCAATCGTTTTGGCTCGGCAGTTTGAGCTGTGTTGAAACATCAGACCTTGAACCCCCTTTTCACATTTTCAGGGGTTAAATGTTAAAAAATCCTTTTTTAATGCTCTCCTATACCTTGCATAAGGAATGTTAGTGCAAAATGTCAAATCCCTAGATCCAAAGGTTTGGGCTATGCCTTGACGTATGACTCAGTCAACTTGTCCATTTATATATAGCTAAATATATATTATAGATAGATGGTTGAATGGTATCAAATGAAAGGTACATGTGCACAGAACTCAGAAACACCGAAAAAGTTTACTGATGCATTGTCTAGAAGTTTAGGTGACTAAAAGTAGGGAGATGATTTGAAGTTGCACTAAAACGTATCAAGATTACTTGTGGATCGAGAACTTTTGGCTAATATTTTATTTTAATTGTGGTTTTCGAAAAGTTGGTTTGAAAAGTTTTGAGAAGCTGGCAATAGTCAATGAAGTAAATAATATAAAAAGCAGTTTTTGAGATTCCCGATAAAAAACGTTTGTGATTACCTTGAAAAAAGCCGATGTCTCAAGGAGTATTTGACGAAATGTTGACGAAATGTAAGCACTTTCTGAACAATCTAATCGGCTAAGACGTGCAAATTAATTAAATTTAAACAGAAAGGAATCTGCAATTGCATAAAAAGATAAGACAATTATTGTATGTACATATTTACATTTATGATAAATAAAAAAAAAATACTGAACAACTTTTTGTACATTATAATTTAAACTGCAAGACTTATTCCAGTATCTTGTCAGATGTTCTGGAAAATTTTATTTATAAAAGTACCCACCTTAATTTTTGCAAATTAGATAATCCTTTAAATTTATTTTTGTTCATTGCTATTGTTGTTAAAGGAAAACTAAATATTATTTGATTGTATTGAAAATATCAATATTAACTGATTAATTAGGAATTTTGTGGTAAGTATAACTATAACATTGTACAAGAAAATCAAATGGAGTTTTTGTATCTGTATTAAATAAAACACTAAAGACTAAAATCCAAAATACCACTTAAGGACTTTTAAAAACCTATGGGAACAAGTAAATCAAAACTCCAAGTTCAAAATCAAGAAGAAAACATACTGTCCTATTCCAATTTCGGATCTTTTCAGGTTATTGCCAACGTTCCCAGCAGGGGTAAGTCGAAGCATGCAATCAGGATGTTTTTGTGGACAATGAACGACTTTAAGTTTCGTATAACCCAAGGCACCTTCAGTATCCTGCATCTAGGCAGGTAAAATAAAAATCGCATCAGATCCTATTTTTTGCTATCTCTCCACTAGGAGGAAAAAATTGGAAATAGCAAAAGTTTTGATTCACTAAATAAAAATGCCCCACATTTTCGAATTGAGCAAAGTGTCTTGGGTTATAATTATGGTTAATTTGTTAAAGATTATTAAAGATATATCTAGGTACGTTTGGAGCATGGCTCAAGGGGCTATAGGAGGTTTTAGAATGAGTAGAACTGTGGGCAATACGGAAGTTAATAAGAAACAGACGAGATAGGTTAGTGGGACAACCTCTCAGTCACGAAGGGCTATTAGAAGCAAGAAAAGGAGTTAAGAGGGACAAAGATAGACTTGGAGTAGATTCGGTACTGTTTGTAAACGGTTACAAGAGATGTTGGTTGCTCCAACGAGTCCAATTAGCCTTCAGGCTGATGCTATTATGATCATGACGATGATTGGGTTAACTTAATACTCAGGGTCAGCATATGGACCAGAACTTTCAGTGAAGGGGCACAGGTCTTGGTCCATCCGCAGTGAAGTCCCTGTATCTAGTTCAGTTTTATAGAACTCAATAATTTGATTTTTTTTATTATATTTAACAAGCAAACAGCTTTAGAAGTCCTAAGCATAGATTTCAATTTTTAATAAAGTCTACCAGTATCAGAAGGCCTTCACATGATGCAAAATTGTATCAAGCTATTTTTAATTAATTTATTGATCGAATCGAAATCGATGAGAAATTATTGCCTTGACTCAAACCTTTATATAATTTACTTCATAAATCATAAAGTACCCTTAAAGAAACACGCAGTCCGGCGAGAATAAAACGAAAACAAAAGGATTAAAAATAACTAAAATGGTACTGCTACACTTGTTACTACATAAATATAACGATTTTGTTATGAAACAAATGCGATTGTTAGTAGAGGGGAATAACAAAAAAAAAACGCTACCTAAGGATTAAGGCTTTTTAAGTGCCTATGAATCATCTCATTATAGAAAAACGGATACATTATTATCGCTTTCCATAATCTATCATTTAAAAAGAGATTTCACTTTATCGATCTCTTTAGTTTTCCGACTGACGCTGATAAAGTCATATGTAGCAGAACAATTTACAACATCAAAAAAAATGAACATGAAAGTAGTTATTATTTTAGTAATTGCATCGTTTTATGCTAATGGTAAGAGTATTTCTTTTCCTTTTAACAAAACAATTTTTGGGTTACGTAGTTTTAAGAAATTTTGCAATTCAACAAGTTGAAATCCCAAAATGGCCCCATGAGAGAACGACATTAATATCACAAAAAAAAATGAAAACAATCGCAGTCAATTTTTCTTCTGTGTTTGTATAGATTTATTTAGATCAATTTTGATTTTATATCAGAGTATTTAACTATATCTAAGTAGGTACTTAAAATCACTTGGGATATCTACAAAAATTAACATTTACCGATTTAAGTAATAATTGTAGTATTACTATTCCATTAATCGATATAATTTATCGAAGAAGCAATCTCCAAAATGTCTATTTCATAATTAGAAATTGTTGATTAAATGCCTGTTAGATTTAACAATAATGAGTATAATTTAAATTACTATTAAAGAATTGTAAAAAGAAAAAGAACTCAATATATTCGTGCTATGTAGTTGAATGTTTTGTGAGACCACTCAGTATATGTTTATCGATGAATAAATATACGAAAGAGTGTTGATAACATATGGTTTGGCTTCGCTCTAAACGTTTCATTAATTTTGATTTTTATCAATTTTTATTACATCGATCGTTGTTGACGAAACAAACGTAATGTTTTATAAGCGTCACTTGTTGATCAATAATTAAAATATTACCATTTAATTTAAGGAGATAATATTACACGTATTATATTTATTTCTTTCTTTTTAGTATTGTCACTTGAATGCCCATCTTGTAGAGGAGCGGAGTGCTCAGATCCTCAAACAGTCTTTAATAAATGTAGCCGAGAAGTGAAACCTTTGCCATTTGGATACGAAAGCAAATCAGTAAATAAAGGTACCGAGAAACTGGGATGCATTTCCCTGGAATACGAAATTGGTAAGTCATTCTTCTTCTCCTCTTACTGCATGTGCTAATTCATCATTATTCTCATTTTACGGTTGACTACCTTGGAGTCGAATATCTTTCATTCAGCCACATTTTACTATACTCATAGATATAAACATGTGGACAGTGTAATCCTCGTAACTATTAAAAATTGTCAGGGAAATAGAACGTGTCACCAATAAATTATAACTTTTATAATTAGTTATTCCTGAGCAAAAGATGTTTCATTTATCCTCACTTTGTTGTTAAGTGTATTTTATTATTTTGCAGAACCGGAAATGCAGTATTTCGTAAAGCAGTGTATTCTAATACCGGACAACAATCTGTGTGAATCGATTTCGAATTCCTTGCCTTCTTCAGTTGTAATGACAAACTGTGAATTCTATTCCGAAGATGGAGTTCAAAGATCTGCATCTCAGCTAACGAAAAGGGATGATGAGTTACTTTTACCGTATGAAACAGAAGGTTCTGGAGATGACTCAACAACAACCGCTGAATCAATAACTGATGCACCTTCCACGGGTGACCCTATCACCGTCGATCCAACTAACCCCCCAACCCAAGCTCCAACTCAGGCTCCAACTGCACCACCAGCGGATGGTGGTGTGTCTGGGATTGCAGTGTCCATCTTTGTTCTGCTATTTACGTGTCTGGTACAAAGTTTAGTTTAAATAGATAAGTAGTTTAATTTATTTTTTTTGTAAATTTGTGACTGTGGAATGTAAATTCCAGAAGGTGTGCAATTAGAATTTATGACAGAGTAATTGTTAGAACACACAAGGCACCGTAAGGACACACTGGCACACACATATATTTATTTATCAAAACCAACATTTTGCTGTTAGTTTTTACTGTTCTTGTAATTAACGGAAATGATGTACAAAATAGATATAAATTATATTTATTATTTATTAAAAGTGCCTTTATATTTCCGGGGTTTATTAGGAGAAGAAATGTTACCATTTAATCTACTTAATGTAAAACTATTTGTTATTTATTTGTACACAATATTTATAAGCAAAAACTTGTTTTGATATGATTATAAATAATGGTAAAGCAGTAAAATACAGAAAAATTTAATAATAGGTCCTTTTTAATCAAGAATATTGATTTGCCAAAATAAACAGGAAATTTAAAAAAGGCTCTTGTAAAACCACAAAATTGTTCAACTAGGGTACTAAAAGACTATGAAATCTCAATAAATGAAAAGTTTCGATTAAACTACTTATTACTGGATAAAAATTTATCTATTACGATTACCATGGGGGTAAATATTTAAGCCTGTACCAATTCGTATTAAAAGAAGCGGGTAACATTTCACCACTAGCGCCATCTACAGTTATACGGATGGAGATACTAGTGACCATAGATTAAATGACAGACAGACTGACTGACAACAAAGACGTTTTACCGCAAAAAGCTAGGTTTGTGCTGGTTTGTGCAACAAAATCCATGAGAGAACCGCGCTTATTTGTGAGCGCGTACGCGGTGTGACTGAAATAGATTGTTTATCAAATTGTTTGTGTGTAAATTATGAAGAGACGAAATGCTGAAATTGGCAAAATGCGAAGACCTTTAAAACGGAATAAAATAACAGAAGGATTTTACGGAAGGTACGTTTGCTCAATAGACGGTAATTATGTTTATGTTTAACACAAGGAAACTGTCACATTCTAAACAAGTTTATCCCATATGTCCCACAAAATGGCTGGATTTTGAGAAATAATAAAAAAGAACTTGATCTATTTGAAGTACAATTATTATAATAGAAAACCTGCTAATTCTGTGCACTAAAAGAACTTTATAATACGTAAAACAGTCCATCAGTCAAAGGACTATTATTGTCATTTAGTAGGTTAGTTATCTGTCAAAACAATTACTTAAAATTTAAAAATTAGCTTTTAAACAAATTGAGAACGTTAAACAGCGAGTACTTCTAATAAGAAGGTTTAAATACACTAATAAATCTTACGACATTAGGGAAACTGTCCCTCTTTTATTAATTAGTGAGAAAACTAGACCTGTAGTGTTCTTCGGTGGTGGTTGTGTTCCAAATAATAGATGATAATTATCATTTGAATAGTTGCAGCCTCGCACCTACGGTGTCTAAGAGAAATGGAAATTTTGCATCATACCATAAGGTGTTTTCTAGTAACTCACACTCTGAACCGCATACTAAAAGTTAATGTGAATAAACCTTGGATTTACCACCAAATAAGAAAATTGCTAGAAGGAAGGTGAAAGCTTGGAAAAAAATACAAAACCACAAATAAGCCAAGTGACTATAGCGCATATAGAGTAATCGAATAATCAAATTCGTTGATATCTTAGATGAGGCAAAGGAGAAAGGATTATGAGAAGGAAGTCATCACCCGGGGAGGCAAATAACTGTTCTCATCCATGGAGCACCTGACTCAGTCTAAAACAGGTATTCTCACAATCAATCAGAAACCAAGCAGAACTGCTAACTGACCTAGCTGTCAGGTGGAGGCCTTTGCAGCAGAGATGCTTAAAGACTTCACCATGGAACATGCAGTTGATGAACTGGGTGCTCCTGACGTCAGCTGTAATGCTGGAGAGATTATCCTGAAAGATGTCTCCTTTCAAATATAGATGTTGCCCAAGTTTTAAGTAGTCTGAATTCCGACTCCCTCCTGATAAGATTCTTGCAATCCTGTTGATCAATTGACCTTCCCTAGGCATCCCTGAACACTGGCTTCCTCTCATCATCTTGGAATGATGCTGTGGTGACTCCAAGTCTTAAAGGAAGGGGACAAGCTAGATTCACTAAACTATTGACCAATCAGTGGGCAAAGTTATGAACCGCCTCATTGTCTGCAATATCCATGACTTTATCCTGGGAAAGAACATCTGTGGACACCTGTACGAGTGCTCTGGACCTCGATAGATCAATGTCATCTTACCTATACTATGTCATTGCATTAGCAAGGATCCCAACAGGCTCTTGATGAAACTTTGCTCACTGGTCATACTTCTCGATTGGATAACTACCTGTTGGAGAGAATGTTTCAAGTTAGGATTGGCGATTTCATCTCTCCAAAACCGCTTTGTGATGGGGTTCCACAAGGATCTGTCCTTGGCCACTTACTGTTCATTCTTTACACCAGCGATCTGGGGAATGGCTTGGTCTCTTATAGATCCGGTGTAGTGTCATGACCAACTCCAAGCAGATCTTCACCTGATAGCAAACTGGTCGCTTATTCCGTTGAACGAGTCTAAGTGCAAAGTCCTCCACCTTGGGAGAAAAAGCCCTCGGCTCAATTACTGTTTGGGAAAAACCGTTGTGGAATCCACGACTGCCCACATAGATCTCGGTGTCATCATGACAGAAAATAAACTGTGATATTACACATTGGTTTCCTGTAACCTTTGATATTGTTTTCTTTGAAATGTTTCTAATTATGTTAATCTGAACACATATAATGTATACGATATATGTATAAATAGCAAAAAGCTCCATAATAATAATAATAATTCCTATTAAAAATCTTATTACGTTCCAGCACACTACTGTACCTGAAATTTCTAATTCTATGGGTTCTGGTAATACTGGCAGATTTCATCTTGGAATTCCGTTTTGAGTTTCTGTGGCCCTTTTATCTCTTACTGCGTTCCGTCTACGACTCATTCAGATACCAAGGTCTCGCGTTTAGTGTGTTCTTCGTCTGCATAGCCCTTACGTCAGACATGCTCTGTTTCTTTTTCATACCTGTGCATTGGCTCTTTTTCGCAGCCAGCACTTATGTCTGGGTGCAGTACGTATGGCACACCGATAAGGGCATATGCACTCCTACCATAATGCTCTGGCTGCTTTTCATCTATCTAGAAGCAGCTGTACGTCTAAGGGACGTCAAACACATGCCTGGACACTTGGATCTCTGTAGACCTTTTGCTGCTCATTGCATAGGTAAGAGTTTTAATCAGTAATCAGTAATGTCCATTTTTATAAGTGGTGGGGATTTCGTTGTTCATTTATTATGACAGTTTTATATATGTTTCGACGACTGTTATATTGACTGTTTAATTACAGGCTATCCGGTGGTGACGTTAGGATTCGGTTTTAAGTCGTACATAGGATATAGAATGAGGCAACGTAAGCAACGCGACGTTGCCAAAGAGAACGAGTTTTATCAGCAGCTATTGCTGCAAGCGTTGCCGATCGATTCTGCGGTGGCTGCAGCGGCGACAGCCATTTCCGGAAGTACGAGTAACGCCGTGAGTTCCGGTACGTCATGTGCGGTAGAAAGTAGCGCTGTTGTGCCGGCGACTTCGCAGAATCACATGCGAGCAACCGCGACAAATAGCAGCAGTAGTCGACAGTCGAATGAAAAGAACGGGCACATACCCAACGGTGGTGCGATGGCTAATGGGGGCGTCCATCAAAACCATACCTCTAATCAGAAATCGCACCATCGAAAATCACTTGACAAGAGCAAAGAGCACAACGATCATGAACATAAACACACAGGTAATAAGTAGTAAATAGTAAACCTGGTTTTAATTGTGTTTTCTAATGTTGCGATTTGTTGCAGAAAGGCACGTCGAAAAGCACGTGCAGCAGATGCAGCAAAAGCTCAATCACGTGCACACTAATGGTGCAGCAGTCGGAGCTGGCGCTGATGACATTGCTACCTCACCTGCGGAACCCGAGACGCGACAGTCTCGGCGTCGGGAGAAAAAGGAACAAGACAAGGAACGAGAGGCAGCAGAATACCTGCAGAGGGTCGAGGCGGACTTACGTAAGGTCCGTCTTGATCTGCAGCAGAGCAGGCAGAGCGAACAGGACCTGCGACTTCAGGTAAGCATTTTTTATTATTACATTGTCGATACGAATAATTATTTATTTGTTTGGTAACAGGTGGCGCATTTGACGACAAACGAAAAAGTTTCTAAGGGCGAGTTGTCAGCGCTTCAACGCGAGGTAGAAGACCTGCAAAGTCGACTTCAGAGCTCTAACAGTTCACGACAAAACGACAAACAAACGATCAGTAATCTGGAGCGGAAGCTCGCAGAAGAACGCAGACTGAGAACCAATAGCGAGGCTCAGCTTGCACAGGAGCGGAAGAGTAGAAAGCAAGAAGAAGCCAGAGCCGCACAGGTCAGAAACTACCCTGTAATAATTTTGAAAAATTGGAGTAAATTAATATTGTTTGCACTTGTTGTTTGTGACACTGTTTTAATTGTTTTTCCAGGTGGCGGCGCAACAGTCGTCTCGCGGTGAGTGCACGGATTCATGCAAGGCGCGCAGGCGCGACTTGGAAGCGGAACTGTCGGAGTGTCGAGCGACGCAACGATGGTCGGAAGAACGTTTGGCAACGCTGGAACGCGAGAACGCGTCACTGGCGGAACAGTTACCCGACACGGAGCTGTTGATGTCTGCGCTTTCGACTATGCAAGAAAAGAATACGCATTTGGAGAACTCGTTATCGGCCGAAACGCGTATCAAGCTTGACCTTTTCAGCGCACTGGGCGAGGCAAAGCGACAGCTTGAGCTCAGGGAAAGTGAGTTCTCTTTTAATTTTTTTGTTGTCATTTTAAAAGACAGGTATTGTACTAGGGACGCAGTAGGGTACATGACTTTTAGACAAGGACCTTTCAATTACTTCATTTGTTTGTATTAAAAAGAGCACCATTTATGTGAAAATGGGAGGGGGGTAAAGTTTAAATTAGTTAAATTACCTCCAAAACGTAGAATATTTTAACAAGAGAAAGCAACTGATTGAAATTTTATCTTCTTTATAAGAATGTTATAATCTTATTGAACTACCAGTGGTTTCACTGTCTTATTAGTCAAAGAAGAAACAATCCTCAGTTTATTAAAGTAGGATACTTAGAGGAATAATCGTTCACCTCCTAATGTACTTCTTATCGTCCTTCCCCTCGTTAGACTTTGACCCCCCCCTTATGTTTCAAGTGGGCGTTTTTTTGCTGTTACCGTGCATTTTTGTTATGGAACGCCCATATTGCCTTTTATGGAATAATATTTTGTTAATGACAGTTATGTGATGGCCCATTTTGTTAATGCTTAAGATTGGTCGTTTATTGTCATGTACCCTTTGCTGTTATTGTCTCAAATAATTTCTACGACTGTGGGGATGGTTTTGCAGACGCGAATCGTGCCCAGGAGCGCGAGATTGAGGAGCTGAAGAGCAAGATAGCACAAGTGTTGGCGGTGATGCCAAACGACACTTTCGGGGGTGGTCCCGCTCCATCGAGCACCATGTCCCGCGTGCGGCTGGCCGAAAGCCCACCGTCGACCCTCGATCCGAACGCGACCGCTTACACCCCTAAGGGGTCCCTCGTCACATCTACTGAAGCTTGAATTCGATGTAATTAAATTAACAGAAAGAAAAAGAATACTTTGTCGTTGAGTAAAACAACCGCGCGATCGTGGCGTACTATCATCATCATTATTATTACTATTAATTATTATTATTATTACGTTGAAGACTGCTGCCTTCCGTCAGCTCTGCACACTTTTACACACACAAACCCATTATTCTGATCGAGTTATTAATAATTGTTATTTGCCTTTTTCGCATTAAACAAATTCTACTGCGTTTTGGGATTCATAAATTAATGTGTTTAATTACGTATAAACAATTCAAGAAAAGAATTTGCTTGAATAAAGCTTTTTACGAATTGTTAATTTTAAACGGTACTTAATTAAAATTAATTGATAATTCTAGTTCTACTTAACTAGGAAATTTAATAAAACGAAAATGCATCACAGAAGAAATAGTTTCCTTTATTGTTTTAGTTGTTACTGGAATCGATCAGCGTTCTGGGTTGTGTTTTGTGCAGTTCTGCAGATTTAAGGTTTCTATTTATTTAAGTTAGAACTGATGTTTTTTCTGCAAGTTGTTTTTGTTCAGTTTTTTACCTGCTCTTGTTCTCCCTCATTTTTTCGGAATTAAATATATTTTAAAAACCTGACGTAATATTTCATTTCGGTATGTTTTTTTTTGGAAATTTCGAATTTTGAAAATTCAGGAAGGGGTTCACTTATATTAGACACAAGGACGTAGCATGCGATTTTCTTTTTTCTCGTTCTTGCTTTATTTTAATAACAATAATTTAGGACTTAAATTGTGATTTAGCATATAGGTTGTTATCGTCATTTCGTGTTAAGTTAAAACTTCTTTTTCTCCCACTGTTTCTTTAAAGTATTATTAATCCATTAATACGTTTGAAACTGTTTTCGATATTACAGAAAATAATCGCTTTTTTTGTATGTAGAAAAACATCAGTCAATAATACAAAATGTTTTTGATTAATGTTTAATTTCAGGACGCAATCATAACTATCGTGTATGTGATATTTATTTGATTTCATTTTCTTCGGTGTTTATAATTTTTTTTTTGTGGAAACAAACAAAGAAGCAAACAAAAAGGATGTTTAATGATACTGTTTATTTTTCATTACTTTTATGGCTCACTATGGCTGAAACTTGATCTCTTTAAAGTACCTTTAATAGAATTTTAAGTTGCACATTTACGAAGAGGAAGAAATATCTTTAGGATCTTCACAATAATTTAACTACTTCAGTGTACGAAGAAGAAACCTAAAATGCACGAGTTTGTTTTATTTTATAATCTTTTTTAACAATGACTTTCTGATTTTTCGCATTTTCAGACAATTATTAATCCTATTATAAACATTGTGCTGAGGTTTCTGGTCATTTACAGAATGTATATTATTTTTAATCGTGTCGTTCCTTTTTGCTGCATGAAATCGGAGATTTGTTTCTTTTTTTTTTTTTTAATATTTATAGGAAACACTTTTATTTTGTAATATTTACAATTTGGAATAAACGTTGTTTGGACTACATTTGTGACCTGTACATTGTACTTAATGAAAGGACGTGTTAACAAATAAGTTTTGAAACATATAAACAGTCTTTTATTTTACTTTTCACTTTTCTTTTCTATTCAAAATTAAGCAGCCATTAGTGGTGAGTCTTTTTCAAGGACGTCTAAAACATGCAACTAAATTGAATGGCTATTTTTGTCACTGGTATTTCAAACCAGCTCTGATTGTAATTGATAAAAGGTTTGGGTGGTCTGCCCCTTCAACCATAAGTCTTATATTTTTCTGTGCAAGTTACTACTACTGATATGTATGGTACTGAACAGCAAGTTCCGAAGGTTTTTATAAATATTTGTAAGGTGTTTCCTTTATAACTATTTTTTGCTCGTATATCATTGGAAAATTGTAGAAAACAAATCTACCCTGGGTAGATATACTATGATTACAGAAATGGGGAACCTTAGAGGTGTAAAATCGTATAATAAAAACAATGAAAAAATATTTTGTTGGAAAGAGGTCTTTTTTACATGTAAACTAGTTCAACTTCTAACTATTGGTAATAAATTAGTCCTAATCATAGTAGCTCGCACCAAACAATGTAAGACTTATAGGTGAGGGGGTGCTTTACCCCTGCATGTCCCCGGCTATAACAGATTTGTCTTATTTGCAGTTAAATGCTGAAATTTCTAACGAGAAAAATAATCACTTATTGCCTTTCACGAAGTGTTTAATATATGTATAAAATGGTTTTATCGCACAACAGAAGTTTTTGATGTGGTGAATAGTAGAACTTAGAAAAGAAATTGAAGCATTTAATTGTAAATGTAAACAAATTTCCTAATCTTTACTAATTACGTGTAATAGTGATACATTTTTTATTCAACGTACATACACAGACATTTGTGTATGTAAATTTGGTAATTTAATTTCGATTCCACCAAAAAAGTTAAGATATTTTTTATACTATGGTGCCCCCCACCCCCTGTTCTGAATTTTCGGCCATGGGCCGCAATAAAAGACGACGTGAAAGAAGAAAGCCCAATTTTATAGTTAAATGCGGTAATTTAATGATGCTTTGTAATACATTGAATAATGTGAACAGGTACCATTTGTATCTCCGGAGATCCCGTTTCTTGATATTGTCCTTTTTGTTTTAGTTCCTACTGTTTTATTTTTGATTTTATTCTCGCGCTAATATACTTAACGTTAGACAATTCGAGAGGAAAATATCACGGGGGAGATTTGTGGTCTCCGGTGCCATTTTTGGTACCTGTAACCAAATAGGTAAGCGATGGGTGTGAAATAAAAGTTGTGTGTAAGGTCAGGTTTTTGCTCTCTATGTGTTATGAACCAATCGAGTTTTGACGGAAAACGAGACATAATAAAAAATATAGTATTCTAACTGTTGTCTTATTTAATACGTTGTCTGTTGTTTTGATCTTAGTGTCAAGAGTAAGACACAAAACGGAGACATAGATATAAAAAAAATTGTCTACTTTTAATTTGTGAAAAAAAAAAAATAAAAACAGCTAATTAAATAAAATTAAATAAATAATTATTAGGTACGTATAATTTGAAATTTCACATACACTTCCCGTATGGCTACAGTTGCTATGTGCGTAATAATAGTTTAATGAAATATAAGATACTAATAAATAATTTGTGACGCATTTAGAATTAAGTGATTTCAGATCTTTATCTGTTAAGGGCGTAATAAGTTAAGGTGCTTAAGTGTCAAGTGAGTTTATGTTCCTTACGTAAGTACCCAAAACAATAATTGTTATTACAGTTTATGATTAGCTAAAATACAATACAAAAAAAAACATTGTTCATTAATTTTAAAGCTTAAGGTATCCCCGAAATGCTCCTTGTTAAAAGGCAATTATTCAGACATTTACAAGTCGATTAAGGGCTGATCAGTTCTAATTTGTATTCATATAGAGTTAAAACTTTAATCCTAATTAAGAAGGAAAAATGCTAATTTATTTTAGTGCTTGGGGTAATCTGAAGATTTAACTTGGTAGTAACTACTTATGGAGTGTTAAAACTTGAGACCTAGTTAAGGAGGAGCATATTGCTCTTCTATTTTAATGACTGTGATGATCTCAAGATTCTCCTTGTTAGGTAGGTACTTATTGGAATCTTTACAAATTCATTAAGGGATGATCAATTCTAAACCATAAAGAGTTAAAACATTAATCCTGGTTAAGGAGAAGCAATGTTCATTTATTTTAATGCCTTGAGTGGTCTGAGGATTCTCTTTATAGTATGGTACTTATTGGGGCTTTTAGAAATTCATTAAGGGTTGATCAATTTTAAATCATAGAGAGTTAAAACATTAATCCTGGTTAAGGAGAAACAATGTTAATTTATTTTAATGCTTGGAGTGGTCTGAAGATTTTCCTTGGTAGCCTGGTAGTAAGTAGTTATGGTGATTTTTACAAATTTAATATTGGTTTTTATCAATTGTTTGCATTCATGAAGTGTTAAAACTTGAGTCCTAGTCAAGAAGGAACATATTGCTCTTCTATTTTAATCACTGTGATGATCTGAGGATTCTCCTTGTAGTAAGGTACTTATTGGGACTTCATTAAGGGATGATCAATTCTAAATCATAGAGAGAGTCAAAACATCAATCTTGGTTGTTTATTTTAATGCTTGGAGTGGTCTGATGATTCTCCTTGTTACTAAGTACCTACGGGAATTTAGTATATTGGTCAATTTTAAGTACCGTTCATGGAGTGCAAGGGTTAAAACATTAGATCTGGTAGAGAACTTCGTTTCTCTATTTCGATATGCTCGGAATGGTCGAATGATTCTCCTTATTGGGTACAATTGGGGACTATTTTAATGTTTGGAGTGTTCGGAAGAATTTCCCTGTTAGTAAATACTTACTAGGGGCCTCAAAAACTTAATAAAGACTCATGATATTCTATTTTATATTAATTTATCTATTGTTGAGGTTTCATTGTGAATGAATGTCTTTTGTTGCTTCTCGTTATACCAATCTGTATTTATAAAAATGAATTTTCGTTTTGGACAGAATTCATCCAAAATAATAGTTGGGGACCACTTGAGGATCCTGATGGTGTAATATTTTAATGATTATGATTTCTTGGCCGCGGTCAATCGGTTCTGCGAAAGTTGTGGTGAAAATTGTCACAATAAGTAGTTTTTTTTTTTAAATACTTATTGTATATGGGTATCCCCACGTGTTGCGGCCCCCACAGCATTAATAATGACGTGGAATTCCGGTAGAAGAGTGAGCGAGGAGATGTATTATATTCAACAACTTAATATTATCGCGACATGGTCTTTCACCGTCAGTTTTGTGCAATGTTCGTTGTTTGTAGGTGCTATTAGCGCGGCCTGTGTCGGCTAACAAACGCGATCTTTTTCGCCAGGCGCAAGCAAAACTCTGGCCACCAGCCATATTAATACTATAAAACGGATTCATTGACGAACACGTTGTTCATATTGTAGCACGACCGACGGCAGTTCTATAGTACAAATTTGTTTTTTAGTTGTTATTAATTGTAAACGACTCTCTTTTAAATATAATAACTGAAAGGTGCGGCAAGGAAAGTTGGTGGAATAGGTACTCGAATTTCAAGGTGGAATAAGTATTGCAACTGCTTCATCTGGACCTGTGCCACTGCACCGTTGGCTCTATTGCTTCCCTTGATAAAACCTTCGAAACCGTAAGGTGAATTTTAAAAATAAATAAATTACAAATATGATTGACTTGCTTTTGAAACAAGTTCCTGGTCAGGTTAGAGAAAAATTCAAAATTTGGTATAAGAAAAGTTATTTAAGTATCCGCTTCAGAAGGTAATCCTAGAAGTCTATCATAATTTACATTAAGAAAGGAAATGAAGACTTGAGGCTCCAAAGTCTAAATAGTGTGGTCTCTAAAGTCCTATCATAATAAATTAATTATCTTATTACAAGTATCGTAAGCTAGCTTTTCATTCAAGTTGCATAATTATTTTCGAATTGCAATAAGTTCCGATCAAATTCGAATCGAAAAGCTTTTATAGCAGCATCTGAAGATTAATTTCAAATATATCCTGAACGATTAAATATCAAAGTAACTCAGTTTATTAATGAACTATTGAATGAGGAATATACCTAGGCATAAAATTTCCTAAGAAAATTAAATTTTAGTTATGACTGATTCCTTGAGAACGCGAATCAAAATTTTCGAATATTGATCTTGAATTAAAAAAGTAATTGATGTTAATGCCTTATATTATACAATAATAATATTGTCTTCGTATTGCCTATAATATCGCAAAAGCCAACAGTATGCTCACGGAATTTCTCAGTTGACACTAATCAGATAAACCATATCTTTGAAAGTATAATGCTTGATAACAGTCATTCTCGAAGACTCGCCTATATTTACGTATTTTTGCTACTAGGCATCATATTACATACATATATAGGTAAACACCTCTTTACGTAGTGTATAAGAAAAAAAATTTAATGCACCCATATCTCTATTCCTGTACCGTTTCACTACATTTACGAGATATGCCATTAAATGTGTGCAATCAAACGTGTGCTTAGATGATTTGATAAAATGCTCATAGGTGGTAATTTTATTGAACAATGAGTCAATAAATACGTATAATATGTAAATCAAACTTTTTTTTCTGTGTATGTACTGAGAAAATTGTTAGTCAGCATGGATTTTTGCATACAGTATATATAGTTACAATCAGTGACATTGTAATAAAATGAAGTGTTTTGTAAAAGTTGACTAATCTATTTTTTGAAAGTCAATTCAAATCTATGACATCTTATAAAAGTGATCTTGTCTATAAGATTCTTGCTGAAGCTATCAGTTTTCGAAATAAATCATTTTTTGATAGAAAGAATCGATAGAACCATGAAGCGATATTGTGACATTGAATTTTGAGGAAGTTTCTGATTCTCTTTGATGCTAAAAACCATCTTTCAGTTTTTGGCGTAACAATTTCTACTATTTTTCATTTAATGTTTTGTTTAAATAAATTATTTTTATGTTAAACATTTGAAAAAGAGTACAATATTGTTTTCAAATTAACACGATCTACGTTCGTCAATGTCCATGAGCTGGGCTAAATGCAGTTCAATAACTTGTCTAAATTAGCAGCTTTATACAATCAAATGGGATGTAGAGGGGATGCTCTACAAATGTTCACTCATCTATTTCTTGAAAGTCAATTCAACCCTACGATCTTTTATAGAAGATAATTTGCCTATAACCTTCCTGCTGAAGCTATTAGTTTTCGAAATAAATCATTTTTTGATAGAAAGCATCGATAGACCTGTGAAGCGATCTTGTGACATTGAATTTCAAGGAAGTTCCTGATTCTTTTTGATGTTAAAGACCATCCTTCAGATTTTGATGTAACAATTTCTACTATTTTTCATGTTTTGTCCAAATAAATTATTTTTATATTAAAAATTTCAAGATTGGTACAGTAATATTTTTAAACTAACACTATCTACGCTTGTCAATGTCTCCGAGCTGGGCTGATCGCAGTTCAATAACTTGTCTAAATTCTCATCTTTATACAAGCAAATGGGATGTAGAACAGATGTTCGCAAATGTTTCTTGAAAGTTAATTGAATCCTACAATCCAACCCTTATAGAAGATAATTTGCCTATAACCTTCTTGCTGAAGCTAACAGTTTTCAAAATAAATAGAGATCGATAGAGCTTGAAGCGATTTTGGGACATTGAATTTCGAGGAAGTTCCTGATTCTCTTCTTTATGCGACCGGGGAAGTACCGAATATATCGGAAAATTACATCAATGGCACAACAGAAAAGGGGAAACATCGATTTTAAAGGTCAATAGACATTCGGTTATATGCATATGCAAAGGTTTAGTTTGGTCATGGAATTTGTGGCCTAGCATTTTTTATATGCGGTGGTACCGTTATTATGCGTTGATCACCCTTTTGGGGTAGTTATTTTTGTTGGGACTTAACCAGTCTCTAGACTATAGGAAGATCAAAGGAGTTTTGTCAATATCGATAAGTAAAAAGCATTGCAAAAGGAAGAAAGAGAAAACGATTTTAAACGTCATTCATGTGAACTTGAAACCATTAGATTCATTAAAAAAAATGAATATTTTACTTTGACATTACGAAAGTAGCAAGGTTAGCAAAAATTATTTAATAGCGATCGTGTAATCAAACGCATGAGAGTGCAGAATTTTAAAACTGATGACGCTCCGAGCACGAGGAGGTCAAAAAATGGAATGTTGAACTATCATTGGAAATATAGAAAACCATTCTTCAAATTTTTAATTATTTACCTTTTCCTGGAGTTTCATAGAGGAAACGTGGTTTCAAATCCAAATTAAGATTTAGAAGAGCAAAGGATTATATCTTCTAAATTGATTTT